TAAAAATCTTTCTGTTTTAGTTAACGATCTTAATTCCAATCCAAATTTGCCTTCGGCATTTAAAGAAATTATGTTTGAGTTCTGGTTTCACCAACAGATGGCGCCAATTGCTTAGTTTTTGGTTAGGCTTTCTTATCTTATCTAATCATTATTTCCTATCTTGTTCATTTGCGGTTTTGCAGCTTAGGATGGTGGTTCGGTAAAACCATCGAAACTAGTCTTGTGAAAGTTTTGTAAATATAACGCTGATTTTTGTTGTTTGACTTCTGAATTAGTATTTGTTCGTGTTATTGTGTCTTAACATTTGATATTAGTTATAGCTTGTTTTGTAGATCTCATGATATCTGGTCAATATACTAAAATATTTTGTGGTTTTTTTTTTTCAGTTTGGATGAATTATCTGTGCCTGTAAGATATTTATCTATTTCCTCATTATTACTTTCTTGATTACCTTTTAAAGAACTTTCTTGCTCATTGTGAGAATTTTTGTCCTAGCTTTCAAGTTGATCTTTAGTACCTAAATCACTTTCATCTTTAAATCCGAGTTCATTTTTTCATTATCAGACTCCATCAACATATTTTGGAATTTTCTCAACATTTTTAGAACCATTTGGAATAAATTCTTTGATGTCAAGCCATTTTAAAAAGCCATTAAGGTTAAAACATACAAGAAAAAATATTACCTAAACAGATGCAATGAATCGGTCAGATTTAATGTAAAATAAAATCCGAATAATAAGTTTCAATAATAAAATTATATTTACAGTTTATTTCTTGAAGTCTGAAAAGGTAGCACCATACAAATAAATGTCTTTTGAAAAAATATTGAAGATATCAAAACAGGGACTGCAAATCTCTGAGATTTTATAAAGTTATCAGGAAATATGGCTTAATTGTAATAAATCACAAAATGCAGTTTGTGACAGTTTAGGGTATAGGGGAAGATACTGCAGTAATAAGTTATGATATTTAAATCTGACATTGAATATCTATAAATTTCTTTGTGGTGAGTCTGTGAGATTAGTTACACCCAAAAAAGGGTTAAAAGTTCCCCATTTTCTAAGTTCAGGAAACAGAAAGTATACTAGGTCACTAAGGTGTGCAAAGAAAATGTTCTTGCTTTGCTCTGATCAGTCACTAAATTTGTAATTGTTGGTATTACAACATAAAATTAAACAAATAATTACATTCAAATTTCTTTCTATAAATATGTGATATTTTAATGGAATCAAGTTGAACTGGGGTAAATTATAGTGCATCTGCTTTATTGAACTTAGATCCCTAAAACTTTATAGATCCACTTATAATATGTGTATTACGGTACAAAGTCCAAGATCCAGATTCATTGAGTATTTGGCCATTCTGGATATTAGATCATCAGCTTAAATCTAGTAAGATGATATGTAGATATTATAAAATAATGTTTCATGAAATAATGAAACATTTATGACCTTAAACGAATCGAAATTTACAAAAAAGAAAACAAACAATAACAAAAAAAAAAAAAAAAAAAAGCTTTTATTTATTTGTCAGCTTTATTAAACATTTCTTTCATTGTAATTTGTTTAAGGTACTTCATTTTTATGCTAATACTTTAATTCTATAGATAGACATAATTTCTTGTTCAGCTACAAAGTTTCACTGTACAAGTTTTGTAATTGCCATGTTGAGAATTCACACTAAATTGTCAGCCAGAATGTTTTTGGTCTTAGCAGCCTCTGCATCACCTGCACTATCAGTAGACATATTTTCTGAATTTAGAACTATACTATAGAGTTCATTGTCCATCAGTTTATTCATGATTAGAGCATTGTCATCACAATGAAAAACAAAAACTTCTGTTATATAATCTTTACTTATTAGTACTTCTCCACATTTCTTCGCAAATTTCATTAACAAGAAAATTTCACCTTTTGTTTGTGATATTCAAAAGCCTCAGATGTTAACATAAAGCTTAGTTAACATCTGCTATACACTATTGGTAATTTAGATTGGCAGCTAGAGATGTGTTGTTCGCTACGTTTTCTCTTGCTTTTGTTGCATGCTGAGAGAACTGGTTCAAAATTACATTTTTTATTTTATTATACTTTTGTCTGTTTCCTGCATGTTGTAGAGTCGTTAGGGGTTTTTGATGCTGGAGAAGTGAAAAATGAGCAATGCCCTCTCCAGGACATGAACTTGAACCTCTCGAATAAATGCCAAGTGTGCTACTGTTACACCACAAAGGCATGGAGAAAATACTTTATATATACCCCCTTTTAAAGGGCAACTGAGGATTAGGGGACCCAATTGCCAGATCCTAGTGGTGAAGAATCATCATTTACTACGAGGGCAATCCCAAAAAAAAGGTCTCCTATTTTTTGGGACGTAGAGAAAGTTTTAATACGGTTGTGGCAACACTGTTGTGAGTGGTGCCTTCTCCGCTACCACATAAGCATGCAGGCGCTTCGCTCGGATGCTCAGTCTTGGCTTGGCAGCCATTCGAAATGGAGCTCCCGATAAACGTTACCGCCAAGTGTGAAGTGCACACAGTTATTCGATTTTTGAACGCAAAAGGCGTTAAACTGGTTGAAATTCACCGCCTATTGACGGAAGTGTATGGACAGTCGTGCATGGATGTCAAAAACGTTCGCAAGTGGTTTAGAGAGTTTACAGCTGGTCGTACTGAAATTCGTAACGAAGAAAGGAGCGGGAGGCCATCAATTGCCGACAAGACAATCGCGAAAGTTGAGGAACTCATGCGTAAAGATCAGAGGATCACTCTGGATGCTCTCTGCAATTTGGTTCCTGAGGTCTCCAGAAGCACCATCCACAGGATTTTAACGGAAAAGTTGCAATATCAAAAGGTGTGTGCAAGATGGGTGCTGTGTATGCTGACAGAAGACCACAAACGACAACGGGTTGATTCTTCCCGTGAATTTCTTCACCGCTATTTAGACAAAAGGAACAACTTCTTGGACTCGATTGTCATGGGTGACGAAACCTGGGCATTCCACTTTACCTGAGACAAAACAACGGTCACACGAGTAGCGGCATCCCTCTTCGCCCAAGCCACGAAAATTCAAGCAAACGCAATCTGCCGGTAAAGTCATGGCATCTGTGTTTTGGGACAGGAAGGGGGGGTACGAGTACTGTTGGTCAACTTTCTGCCTCCTGGGACAAAAGTCAACACTGACAGATACTGTGAAACACTGAAGAAACTCAGAAGGGCAATTCAGAACTGGAGAAGAGGGATGTTGAGCAAGGATGTAAGCATTCTCCACGACAACGCCCTTCCTCACGTTGCCCGTCAAACCGTCGATCTCCTGCAAAATTGTGGTTGGAACATCATCACACACCCACCCTATAGTCCGGACTTGGCACCCAGCGATTTCCACCTGTTCCCTAAGTTGAAAGAACATTTGTCTGGATGGCGGTTCTGCTCCGATGATGAGGTGAAAGATGAGGTTCAGTGCTTTCTGAAGGGCATGGCAGCAAGCTGGTATGACATGGGCATTGTGAAACTGCCACAGCATCTACAAAAATGCATCGACTGAAATGGCGATTATGTTGAAAAATAAGCATTCTTCAATCTTTAAAGTGATGTAGCAATTATAGAAAATAAACGGTTCTTGTATGTCTAAAAATATAGGGAGACCTTTTTTTGGGGATTGCCCTCGTACCTTTTAGTTCATGCACTGTAGAGTCATCAGGTTATTTTGATGCTGAAAATGTGGAAAATGAGCAATGCCCTCACTAGGACTCGAACCTGGAGCTCTCGAATATGCGCTGTGTTACCATACCATTACACCACGAAGGCATGCAGAAAGGAGGGAGGAAATACCTTATAATATACTTAACTAAGTCCCAGATAAATAAATTCTCACACATACTAATTAAGTCTCATCGGAACAACAAATCAGTTATTATTATTTCAAAAAGGAAAAAATGTAATCTTTTAGCCTATATTTATAAAATCTGTTTTTTTGCATATGGAAAGAAATTTCTATTAAATTTCTCCTTGCCAACATTTTGTTAGACAAGTCACTTAGTTAGTGAAAGTCTGGAATCATCCCCAAGCGTAATGTAAATATCATCATGCTCTTTGATATTGAATTACTAGTGTTTAGAAAAAAAAAGAAAAAAAAGTTTCAAGATTGCTGCATAAGTCATTTCGCCATGTATTGTTTACCATGCAGTGATAAAAGCAAAAAATAATAAATAATGATTTGCCAGGTTTGCATCACAGATGTAGACTTTTTTATGTAGACTATTTTGGTTTGAGATGTTTGCTAGAAAGAAAAGGCAGTTAGAGAATTAAATTATTAATCTCACAGTTTATCTATTAAATTATTGTTTCTTCAATATGGTGGTATTTTATTTACTACCAAAGTAAAATTAAGAATGACCAATTTCCACATATTTTATTATGAAAAAGTATCAAATGCATATGCATAAAGCATACAAAAAACTTATATCTTAAGTGACGAAGTGACACAGTCAGGTTCCTGGAACAAATCCCTACCCTGTGTTTAGCAACGTAAGATGGTGTGCATATCTTTATATTTGCATAGCATATCATGAGAGTCCTAAAAATTTACTAAAACAGTCCTAAAAGTACCTGATGAATTTTTTAAATAGCAGTAATGGCATGCGAATCTTGAAGCAATTATAGCGATGAGCTGTAGAAGTTAGATGAGCAATTTATCTCAAAATTATTTTTTTTTAAAAAAAAAAGCATTTTTGACATTGGAATAACCATACAAAAAAAAAAAAAAAAAAAAAAAACTTTAAGCATACCTCCCTCCAAAAAAGTGGCTTGCGATCCAGATTTTAAATCATTCCAGATACTAGATGTCTGGATTTTTTAACTTTATGTTATATACCATTTTTATTAAAATAGTACCTGATTTTTAGTGTATTTCCCAGTTTGCTCATTAAAGTATTTAAGTCGAAATCGTTTGTGACATGAGTGTGTACAGTTTTGAGTAAAATTGTTATAAAAAATCTCATATTTTTAGAAAACACCAAGTAAGCAGTTAGGCCATTCACTGAAGAAGTCTATTCTTTGTGTTCCAGACAAGCCTTCTAATACTGATTCCCATTTTCATGAGGATATAATCCGGAATTATGGTAGTGAACCTCAAGGAATGTGAGTAAAATGTTTTAATGAAGAACAGAAAATTAAATATGTTTTTAACGTACTTAATTCTAAAGGATGCATTACATAGTTTCAAATCAGAAATAATCAAAGAAATTGTCATTATTATGAAATAAGCATTTTAATGCATAAAATTTCTGAAGAGGAAGCTTAATTATCTATATCTTAAGTCATGACATATCCTTCTTTAGCAAAAATTAATAGTGCTGAATTTATTGTATTATTTTTGTATTTGTTAATGCATCTTTTCCAATTTTAATTTTAGCACAAGCCATTGCTAATGTTAAGTAGTTTCTTTAAAACTTTAAAATAGTTTGTTTTTGCTCTTAATTATGATAGTCATTAAATAATTTATAAGGAAACAATGTGTATACATCATTGGATGTGAATGATTCGCACTTAAATGCAGCTAGTTAGATTACACTTAGTAATGCATTGATGTACTTTTATAATACTCCAATTTACATAAATACAAGTCAGTTCTCCTTAAAAATTCCTCTACATTTGCACTTTTCTGAATTGGATAACCCTTGGATGCTTTATTGCAATAAATTACATGTGCATTTTGATTCAAAGAAACTGTATAGTTTTGTTATATCAAACTGAAGAGTAGGGAGACTGATAAATGCAATTGCTTTCTTGTAACAGAAAAGAAAAATATAGTTTGATTGTTGTGAATGTGAAATTATTGTGAGAATTTTAGTAGGAATCAGGGCTGTGGAGTCGGTAGGTAAAATGACTGACTCCGACTCCTGGAATTTTAATGACTCCGAATCTGACTCTAACTTCGACTCCAACTTCTTAATATATATGTGAACATATACACATGGGTACAGCTTATTTTTTAATATAAAAGAAGTAATAGATGCAACAGAAAAAAACTGATGCATAGCAAATGTTTTATATTAATTAGCATTTATTATGAAATGGAAAAACTGGCATTAGTAATTTCTAAGAAATAGTAAAACTTCGGCAAGATCTTCTTTGTTAGAAGACCATAGATCCGATTTGATAAACTTCAGATCTGAAAAGAGTCTTTCCACACTGACTTGAGTAAGAAAAAGAGCTGTTACTGTAAGGGCTCTACTTCTTTTAACTTTTCAGGATAGATTTTTATAAGTTGTAAAAGAGGTGTCTTGCAAGAGGAATCATATTTATCTATTTCTTCAAAGGCTGTGTATAAATCTTGTTTCATTTTATAAAAGTAAGCTTGAACTTTCGATTATATTATGTTAAAAAGAATTTCCGATTCTGGAACTGCCAAAGGATCTACAAAGCAAAAGCATGTTTCGATGTCCATCAAACAAAAAGTGGAATTGCCGCAAAAAATGGATAAAGGCATATCCTTTGTTTCTCTAACCATTCCGAAATTTGTTTTATCAATTTCACGCTGCTTTGCGGGGGGGGGGGGGGGGGGGGGGGGGGGGGGTCGTTGCTGCGTGCAATGAACTGGAAGTTGATCTGTCAGCACTATCCTTATCTTCAAGGCAGATGATTTTATTTTATTCAGCTTAGAATTCTTTACTAAATGTAGTATTTCATCTCGATGTGCTCCGTCTTTGATATAATTTAAATTAAATTCCTCGTCATTATAAATATCACGAATACACATCAAATAGTTTTCTGGTTGCAATTTTCTAATTTCGACTATGCGTAATGTAAGCTTTACGCATGCGCATGTTGAAAGAAATGTTTAATAAAGTAAACAAATAAATATTAAGCTTTTTTTTGTAAACTTTGATACTCTTTAGATCATAATTGCTCTTTATTTCATAAATTACGGTTTCATATTTTTAATTTTATAATTTCTGCATGCCATCTTGATTTCAGATTTAAACTGATGATCTATAATCCGGAATCGCCGAAGTCCGGATTAAAGACTTTTGGCTGTATTATCCAAATATTTTTCAAAATCTAATTCATCAGTGGAAGACGATGGTAAAGACTCTATTACAATATCTGCAGTTTGACTGTCCTGATTTGAATACTCCAGTTGTTCTGATAATAATTTCATTCTTAACAAAAGTTCATAGATGGCTTTCTTTGCCTTTTTAATTTGTTTTTCATCCAACAAAATTCGGCGATTTGGATGTACATATATTGAATCTAGCACAATCTTATTGTCTAGCGAACTAATTTCTCTTTTCTTCATTGAAAAATTGATTCCTTCTGCAATAACATCACATTCTTCCAGTCTTGCCTCTTGTTAATTCTTCAGATTGTAGCTTTTTGGTGTCTATATGTGGTATAGAAAGAAGAGTTTCCAATTCAGCAAGCTCATTCCACAGTTTTCTGTTAGTGAAATATTAGAGTTATTTACATCTTCTGAAAAATTTCTTAATCCTAACAACCACTATATCATCAAATATGTACTTCTCCATTGCATTGCTCCTTTTCCTGCTAGCTTCCTAAGAATGCCATCAATTTTGGGAGTTCTCGCTGCTTACCTCAATTTACCAATGAGATTAGTAACTAAATGAATCAGTTTAATTAATAATGTCAAATATCACGTCCATCTTGCACCCTTATATTTGTTTACTAATATGTCAATAAAAAATATAACTATTTATTAATGTATATAGTCCATAAATAAAAATACTAACTCAGTTTGTCATTAATTTTTTTTTTCAATTCACTTTAATTTTGTTTCAAATTTAAACTGTTCAATAAAAACAGGAGTTGTAGTCGATGTGTTTTTTAGCGACTCCAACTCCAATTCCTTTTACCCAAAAATCTACCTGACTCTGATTCCGACTTCATGACTCTGACTCCACAGCCCTGGCAGGAATATTTACATTATCAGTTTAACTATGTTAGAAATTAAGTGTTGTGAATTCTTTAAAATTAATTAGTGAAATTTAAAGAGATTAATCTATTTTTTTTAAAATTTTTTCTGTCTATGTAGAATTGTTTTTGTATGACAGTAAGAGCAAATTTTGTTCTTAGCTTTTTAGAAAATCAGGAAATCATCATCTAATTTTTTAACTCAGTAGAAAGCAGAATTCAGAAATGTTATGTGTTAAAACTAATGAAAAATAAAAGTTATAAAGGTGTATAAAAAAAGGTGACATCAGATGCAATTGTGTCTGGTGTATCTATTGCTTCATTAAGAGTTAATGTATAAATTTTAATTTTATGTCTAATAAATTTTGTATATTTCAGGACTACCTTTTAATCTAATTCAAAGAGAAACATACCAAAGTAAAACTAAAAATTAGGAAAAATAAATAAATAAAGTAACTTTAGTTTGGTGTAGATTTTGAATAAAATTCTATCTATTTGGAACGTGATTAGATACTGGTCCTTCTTCTTCAAAAGCTCTCCCCTCCGCCCCCCAAAAAAACTTTTGAACTGCTTTAAATGCCAACTGTTTTTCATTTTTTTACAGCTTTAAATTTATTTCTTAGCTAATTTTAATAGAATTAATGCCAACTTGAACATTAATGATCAAATAATACAAGAGTCTTTTGGGGATTACTTAACAGAATAATTTGATCCCAAAGAAGGGATATCACATTGTATAGCTTTCAAAATACATTGTGTCTTTTCACTTAAAATTAGCTTTAAGAATTTAAGTATAGTTTCAATTTTGAATTAAAAGATTTTATAATCAGTTAAATATTTGAATATGGTTTCAAAATTTAGCATATATTGTATTGCTAATAAATAGCTTAACGGTATAGTATGAATTACTTATTTGTTTTCTAGTAGCTGTACATTTGTTCATTAAACATTCATTGGGAATGATTGAACCTGTATGTCATATGCACCAAGAACACTGACCAAGGTGCACCTCAGTCAGTGACTGATATACTTACACAGGAGGGAATAAATGACTATAAACATCCATGTTTTCACTAAAATTCAAATCTAGGTCCACCGGTATGGCAGGAATAAATAATCCTCTTAGTATAAATAAATCAATTAAATACCATGTTGAAACATTTAAGTTAAGATAGTAAATGTAAATTAAATCATTAAACTAAAAAATTAGTTAATGTTTTTGCCTTTTCAGAATCATGTTTTAACATCAACATGATAAAACTCTTTGTCTTTTCAAATTGATTTCTTATTTTAAAATTATCAGTTAGAAATGATTTGTTTAAATGAAATTTAAGTTGAATGATAGGCATTTTTATCAAAGGTAAAATATATATAAGTGTATGCAGAAATTCTTAAAAGAAGTAGTCAAGTCTTCATGATATTATGTTTCCTGATAATATTCATAATATTAATTTCTTTATAATTATGGCTTTATTTTATTTTTAATTACAAGTTAGATAAAATACAATTTCTCTTCTCTTTTATTATTTCTTCTCTTCATCATTACTTCAGGAAGTGTGTGGTCTTTTTTTTTTTTTTTTTTTTAAATTCAAATGTATCTGTATTGTTATCTGAAGATTTTAATGATATCTAAATCTTCAGGTGTTGGCAAGTTAAGCTAAAGTATCATCGCTGAGCTTCCTATTTTTGCTAATGGAATAATTTATTTACAAAATTAACACTAGTGTAATTTAAATGATATACTGCAGGGTACCCTACTACCCCATGTATATTTTATTACAAACAATGTAGTGTTATTTTTGCTTTAACTGTCATTTTTCAGTTTTCTTAAAAGCTTTTTAATATAATTTCAGGCAGCCTTCATCAAATGCTCATCATGATTCTACTAGTATTTTAGATGCCAATCAAAGTTCACTTAAAATGTAAGTTCCCCCCCCCCCAAGTTGTTGATTCTATTTAACTGTGTGAAGTGCTTGCATTTTATATTTTATTTTAGCAGTGTGATTTACTATTTATGTTTTTCTTTAAACATATTTTAATGACATATTTTAGTAAAGTACATTAATACATTTTGTATTTCATACTTTATGTTGTATTCACAAGCATTAGTTTTTCCTTTTTATAATTTTTGTTTCTAATGGTTTTGTATCACCATGTCTCATGAAGCTTCTTTTGATAAATATTATTGCATTCAACATAAGATCAGACTATTTGGTGGGCGATCGGAGAGCATTTATGACAAATACTTAATTATATTATCATAGTTCAACAAAGTCCTCAACTTGTTATTACTATTATAACAACTATTACACTTACTCAGCATTTGCAAGTGTTTGGATACTGGAAAAAAATCTTTTGAATTGAGGTATTGCTACTCATGCACCTGCTGACTAAATCTCATTGTCATTCTGAAATTCTTTTATTGTCTTCAAAAGTGTACCCAGATTTTATCTTCACTGATGATACTATACAGAAATGCATCATTATCAGCCTGCTACTGATACGGAAGCAACAGTTTGTCTTTCATTTCAGGTGTCAAGTGCTTACGCACACACTTTTCAGACCTTATCATGAATTATGTAATGGTCTGATCCATCACTAATGTCTAATGTTAGTACTTTGCAGTTTTCCATACCCCATCCCAGACACTGGCAATTAATTTTTCACCAAGCTGAGATACGAAGGACAAACAACCATTTTCAAAAGTAGTAGTGCATTAAGAATTATATAAAACAGCAACTAATTAACAAAATTTAAAATGCAAGACATATCCATAAAAAAACAATAAAATACCAGAGTTTTCTCAAATTTGGTTGTGGGCAAAAATTTTGGACTATAAAATTTAATCGTTTAAGAAATATAACATGGAATGTGAAATTTTGCATTCTCTGTTGTTGCAGAAAAGGCCATATTTCTGAAGAAAAGCAACACTTTCTTTTTCATCAGCTGGCAGAGTTTGTGATGAAAGTGCAAGGAGATGAATTGCAATGAGATGGTGAAGTTCGCCATCTTATTACAGTTCCTTACACACACACACACACACCCAAAAAATCTAAAATGCAACAAAAACAACGCTAATCAGAAAAATGGCTGTTTAATTTGAAGACAAAAATGAGTTGCCATCTGTTATGCACCCACATATGTGGAGTTGTGACATAAATATATTTTTAATGGCAGCATAGTTTGTTATCTCATGAATAATTTTCAGGGGGGAGAACAGATGATCAAAAAGAACAATCAATATTAATGCCATCTTCTTGATTTTGATATGTTTTCTTCATTTTCTGGCAACAGTCATTTCTCATATTCCAAGGCTGCAGTGTTGTCTGAAAATCAGGCAGAGTTAATTTTACCGGTGACACCAGTCATCATCTTCTTTATCCATTTATACACTTCTAAATTTTCATATATCTGTAACCATGTTGAATTTCGATCCCGCGTCCCAATCTGGGTGCTCTTCCTCAAAATTGGAGGTGGAAAATAGAAGTCTGACCCAGTGGCGGCTCGTGGTTAAAATTAGTGGGGGTGCTGTTCCAAAAACATTTAACCTTTGTTTTAAAATTGTCTGAAAGGAAACAAACATGTATAAAAAGAAAATTTATTTTGAAACATCAGGAAATCTTACAATAAAAAATTAAGCATTTCTTAATTACTTTAACCAAAATTTTTACAGTTCTCTCTTTATCTATTCATTTAAAAATGAAATCCATTCTTCTTGTTTTACTTTGTGCAAAACAATCAATAATTTTCTCCTTGATCTCTGGATGACAACTGAGGAAATTTTTCTTTATTGAAAGCAATGCAAGTGCATTTAGTCTTTCCAAATTCTAGTACTTCTTAGAACAGTTTTCACTCTTTTCAATGTTGAAAAGCAGCGTTCTGCCTCTGATGTAGTCATGGGAACTCTCAAGAGAATTTTATCAGTTTCGTAATTCCACTAAGAACATCGTCTAGATTATTTTCGATGATAAATTTCAGTAGCTCATTTAATTAGTAGTATTTATGGATATCAGACCTACAATAGAATACTTTTAGTTCAGTTTTAGTCAGTACTATTAATTCTGTAGAATGTTCATTCCTAAAACTAGCGAAGCATTTCTTGTTTAACAATTTAGAAGCTGCTAAGTGTTTAGTGGAAGAATATCTCTGCATTATATCAATACATAGTATAAAGTCACGTATTTCCTTCTTCTATTCTTCTGCCATCAGTGTCTTTGGAAAATTCTCACAGTACTTTGTTTCTTAATTCTAAGATAGCAGTTTTTGAATTTGTTATATATTCGTTAACTTTAAACACACTAATTTCTCTGAATTGCATTTGATTGTATATTATTTCAACATGAGGCATCTGATAAAAAAGCTCTAACTAAAACTTGAAATTATCATCATTTAGATATTTTAAAATTCCTATTGCTTTTGCAATAGGAACAGTTGCTTCATTTGTTGTTGTTCTGCATTTGATATTGATCGAATTTCACTAAGGCAATTTTTTAAAAGGTTGAAAATTTTCATGAACTCTGTTTATGGTCCATATGATGAAGTTCCACCTTGTGGAGGAATACCACACGCGCGGATAAAAAGAAATCGCTTTTCGAACAACATGCCAGAATTTCGGCGCTGCAAGAGCGACAGTGTTCTTCTCTCTGCCTGGCTCACGTGCTGCTTTCTGTGTGCGCATGCTGGAACAGCCAAACACCACATCGCTTGAACTGTGAAGCGTGCAGTTCCAAAGACTTTCGTACCTTTTTGACAAAGTGTGGGATGGCTACTGACATAAAGCTTAAGGATTATGTACTGTAAAAGTATAAAGAAAGAATTAAAGACTAAAGGGCACACTATATTAAATATTAAAAATAATAATAAGTGGAAATTGGGGGTGCTGCAGTTCCACAGTGCTTATTATGAGTCACCACTGGTCCAACCTCTCTTTTAAGTAGGTTCTGGCAACCATTGTTCCGTGTACTATGGACAAGACAACAACAACAACAACAACAATAGTAGCTGAATTAGAAATATTTTGAGATGTTATTGACTTGTCTCACTTGTCTGACAGTAATTTCAGATAATTAATTGTATTTTATCTAAGAGGCAAGGGTTTGCCTTAGGCCTTGGTCATCTCATAGGTAATGAAAAAAAAAAAAAAAAAAAAAAATGCCAAGCTCCATACATTTTTGAAGGAGAATCTCTTGATGGTTTGATTTGAAGGTGCCCACCTTTTTTTTCTTCTCTCTTCTACAAATGTTTAGAGAAGATTTCCAGCTCAGCAGTATTTAAGTGTCCCCATGTCACAAAGACACTAAATACTAGTTTCAAACATCCATGGGCCCACCAGCAGCCTAGCGGTAAAGTCGCTAAATACTGGTAGTTTGGTTCGAGGTTCGAATACTGCAAATGGGCTGGCTGCATGGGTGTTTTCATGGTTTTCCCCATGTGTAAAGTGTATACGAGCCAGTTTCCCTTAGAAAGTCCTCCATGAAGGCATCCCTCTCCTTAGGCAGATAGTCCTCAAGGCTTTGCCATAATCAAACACACACAAACATCCATGCATTTTCTGGCATTTCAAACCAGGCTCAGGTTTATTGTCTATTGTCATATAAGCATCAATTTTGATTTTTCATTATTATTCTTTCAAAACAATAAAAATATAAATGTAAATAAAAATTAATGCTTAGATTTGTTGATCTTCTGTGTATGCATTGTAACTTTATTTTGTATGTAGGTCTCAAAGCAGTTTTTATCCCCAAGATGATGACAGCAGATTGATGACTCATTACAGTAGAAATATAAATGCAAGCAGAAGGGTAAAATTTTATATTTTTATCATCAAAATATTTGTGTTACATTTCTTTCGTGCATTGTTTTTCTGTTCAAAAACAATTTTTGGACAAAACTATCCTTTTGCGTTACATCACATTTAAAACTAAACATTCAGCTGCACTAAATTCTGTATCCCGTCTGGATAAGTAAACGTAACTGCATAATAATTTTAAAATGTGAAGTGAATATGCATATTAATAATTAAATAATACCATCTGCCTTAAATTTACGGTCAATTAATTATCATTAAGTTAATTTAATATACATATGTATATTTTTATTGCAACCAATTAAAGTGTCTGATAATTTAATCTTGTTTGAATTATGTTTATCATCTTCTTAAGAAGTTTTCAAACATTTCGTATGAATATTAATTTATATTTGTGAAATGAAATAACTATAAGTATTGCTTATGTAAAATATTAGATTGGTTGGCAAATAATGCAAAACTGACAACCTCAAATCGGGTGGGGGGAAGTACTGATGCATTAATTTAATTGTTAATCTTTCAGGCAACTTTTCAATCTCTTTTTTGAAATCTTTTGGTTTTATTACAAAAGAGTTGTTCATGGCCTGTTGAGAAAATCTCCAAATGAAGTTGTAACACCAGTAGAGGGTGTTTCTCTTCTGTGTACAAAGAATATTAGTTACTTCATGATGGGGTTTTGATAAGGGAAATACCACTGATGCTCACGGGGCCCGTTTGAAATAAATGCTTTATTTTTGTAACTATGTAGTTTTATCTTTTGTCAAATACTCGCATATTTTTGGTGACCTATGCAGAGAATAAAGAAAACTTGTTCTGCTGTCATCTCAAAGTTATGCAAACCATTTGAAATGGGGTTACTGTCTTCAACAATGTTTCATGCATAGTGGCATGCAAAATGGAAGTTATCCTTTTTTTAACAAGTTATGCACTACAGTTTGGAATAAGTGGGTAAGAATAAGATTTAGTCTTAATTTGCAGAAAGGTAAACTTAACTATTCTTTATTATTAAGGAATAGAATGGACTTTGTATTCCAAATTACTTCTCATTCCTTATCTTAATGTATTTAAAATCAGAAGAAACACTTACTTAAGCAAAGATATCAGGTTATTAAAGAATTTGTTAAAAATTGATTTCGAAATAGAAATAGTGAATGCTGAATGAACTACACTTAGATATCTTACAATAAAATTTATTTCTAAAATTGAAACTAAAATCTTACGAAACAGAAAAGAGGAGTTAGAAGAACTTTCAGAACAAGTAAATTTTAAACACTTAAAAGAAATAGATTCTTAAATTCAAAGTCAGATTATGGATGTTAAAAAAATCAAAACTGAAATTATTCATTGTGATGAGTATCATGATAAAATTTATTAATTACATATGTAAGTTGAAAGCTAGTATTAATAAATGCAAACACAAAGAACACAACAACAACCTTATAGTCTGTTAAAATTAGAAAAATAATTTGTTAAATTAAACTCATTCATTAACAATAAGATCTGATTGCAATTCTGCTGACTTTCAAAGATTGTAGAACCATTTTGAATCTTTGATACACTGAAGATTTATCTAATGTAAATAAATTTAATTACATAAATCATATTAAATAGGAGTAGCCACAAATGCAATTAAAGGAATTACGCTGACAAACAAAAATTACGGAGCAGCAATAGAAACTTTAAAAGAAAGTTTACAGAAAGAGACTTTAGTCATCAATTCTCATTTAAATAAGTTGGTGAATTTAACACCTGTTAGGAAATCAACAGATGTCTCTCTGCTTAGGGAATTGTTAGACACATATCAAACAGAAATTTGAAATTTAATAGCTTAAGCATAAATAAAAAAAAATACGGATATCTGCTATGTCCTATACTGATTTAATTAATACTGTTACATGCACATGATGTGTAATGGATTGAATGCACACAGAACTGATGATAGCCTAAGAAAAGTTATTTTTCCAAAAGAAGCACTTTACAGTTCTTGGAACTTTTCAAAAAAGTACTCATAAATTTCTTCTCTATATTACAGCACACTCAGTAGTTACAACTTGAAAATACTAAGAACATTAAACACAATGCAGTGCAAAGTGCATTTAAAAACCGAAGCTCGCATGAATATCTCTCATTTTCTCGAAGTCCGCTCTGAACTAAAAATTGAGAGCTGATGCTTTCACCTGCCGTATATTGTTTACCCCCATCTGCTGAGAAAGGTCCAGTACCTTCAATTTCTCGAAATTGCAGGAAAGCATACAGAGTTACAGTTACTCGGGACCAGGGACCAGTTACACTTAGAGACCAAAATGACTCCAAATAGAAGCCACTTTTGGTGATTTTGAGCCAATTTATTGTGAAATTAACAGGGGGGGAATTAGTTGCCAAAACCACCACCAGCTTCCAATTTGGAAAGATAACCATATGCCTCGTTGTTAAATGGACTTGCCCCTGTAACCTTATTTTTCTGATGAAGCTTCACACTCTCAACACTTTTCATATTACATTATACAAGAGCCACTACAATTTTACATATTATTTCACTAAAGTTATTTAAATATATGTGAAATTTGTAACACTACAAGATATTATTCTAGAGATCACAAAAAAAATTGAATCATATAAAGATTGGAAGATTGGATTGAAAGTTTTGAATGTACTTAAAAATAAGTAATATTCTAGAAACAGAAGTTAAAAGCAGAAAAAAAAAACCAGCCAAATCTATGTTCTTGTTGGATTTAGGTGGAATAATTCAAATTTTGAAAGGACATGATGGTCTTGTACTATCATGTGTGTGAAAAACTAAAAGAAGGGACATTAAGAGACCTGAGTTAACAAATTTTATTTAATAATCTTGTATTTCATGTTTACTTATAAAACTTTTAGTTAATTAGTTGAGTTATTGCTTATAATTTAGTGTTTGTAATTCAATTTAATATTCGCTTATTTAGTAACTTTTGAATTCTTTATTTTGAATTCTTTTGTCAGTTTTGTAGAGTTTTTCTTCTTCTGTTTATGCTTACATCAGGTAATTGTACTTGATATGTAAGTTGTTTTCTTACATTTGAATTCATCTCTTTTTGTATGATGAAATAGTGATAATTTTTGCAGAATTATCAGGTGGAGAGTGTTGAGAAAATCTCCAAATGATAAGGCTTAATGGCATTAGAAGGCACTTTTTTGTTTGTACAGAGAATATTAGTTAGTTTATGATGTACCTTTTATTAGGAAAGTACCATCAATGCTCACCAGGCCTTTGAAATAAATGACTAATTCTAGTAATTATGCAGTTTTGTCTTTCCTTTGTATTGGTATACGGCCATACCTTCTGTTGACTGTGACAGTCCTTATCAACATGAAAGTGTGCTTTGATCTTGACTTCTAGTAATTGGAGGGTGGGAATATTTGGACTTGTAACAGAACGAATGATAATTTCCCGTTATAAACTTTAATTATTGTTGCAGAATGTATTTTAGCGCTGTCCTGCTGAAGAATCCCACTAATTTTGCTGATCAGTGCAGGTTGCTTAACCTTTAAAGTTCATTTCATCTTATTTATATAATAACATTAAATATCTGCTTTAATGGTATGATTATTTACTAACAGTTCAAGAAAAACTGTACCTTCCATAACACATTGTATGCTGAAGGGAAAAAAAATTCTTTTTGATAGATGTAATCAGTAGCTTCCTTTCCCTAATTCCGAGTGTAATATATCTTATGAAAAGCTTCCACTTCATTTCTTATGAAAAGTGTAAATGAATACTTGTTACTAAGGTTTTTTAGTTTTGAATTGATATGGAACCCAAAACTAGAGCAAGAAAGTTTTTTTCTTATTGGTTTCAAGTGATATGCTGCTGCTTGCTGTGCACAGTGAAGTTTTTCCAATAAATCTTTGCTTATTTTACATGGATTTGAATATATCAGCATCTTCAGTACATCATCTTCCACCTCTCTCTCTCATATCAAAACTCGTAATTATCGCATGACTTCACTTGTGCACAACAAAGCTAAAATGTTAATTCAGAGGCTTGGGAGGGGGGAAGAACATGGAATGGAGATAATAATAAACTTTAAAAATGTTGTATCATAATCATTTTAGTGTATCTGAATTTTAGCAAACCAAATCTTTCATTACTTTTTGATCATCTCAATAACTTTCATGACTTCTAGTACTCTATTTTCATGTCACATCCTCAGTTAAGTTTATAATGATGTAATCTAATTAAATTTCTTACAAAAATTATGACTTTTTGTGTAAGGATGACTTTAAACTAAGACAAATTTTCTGCGCTTAAAAAAAAAAAAAAAAAAGAAAAAAAAGAAAGAAAGAAAAGCTTAAAATTTTATATATGGAAATTGAGCAAAAACTGCTTGTTTCTTTAAAAGAAACTTCTAAATATATTATCACTTTTTAAAAAAATTATTTCACATTTTTATTAATAAACAGCTTTATTTATGTTGCCACTTCAGATAATATGTATTTTGAATTTTTTTAGTAAATGATAGGATGCTTATAATGCTAACCTATCATTCATGCCTTTTTTAAATAATTTTTGTTAATCTTTGTTGGTAGCATGATTTTCTCTCTCTCTCTCTCTCCTTTTTTTTTTTTTTTTTTTGTGTAAATTACAATAAAGATCTTTTTTCCTAACATTTAACTGCTTGTTTTAAACCAAATCGCGCATTTCTGTTTTTAGCTTAGTTAAATGAGGTGAATTTATTGTCATATTCTCTTAAACCTTTGAAGAGCGCCAGTATATAAAATAAACCGGATGTTTGTCAATTTTTTTAACCTCCTAAAAAATGCTAATTTTTCTACATTAACAAAAGATAACTTTTGGTGTAGAAAAATACCAGTATAGTATATACCGACACCCATACTGAGGATACCTTGCCAATGGATGGCTGCACCAGGCCTCTCCTACTATACTTTGTGAGATGACAGAATTTCTTTAGCTTATAATAGTTTATTATGTAATTATTCGTTTAGGATTAATTT